CTTTCTGAAAGTGTTTGCAACGTGTTCAAGTTTCAAGGAGACATTGTGCAGATGTTGGGGTAGATTTTTGTAAGTTAGCATGACTTCAGTTGAATGTTGTGGCCCTCCATTGTAGGCATGTGGTTATCTGGCAACTTGCAACACATGTGTCAAGACTCAAGAGGCGCCATCTATCCAACCTTGAGTTGAGAAGAAATGAAATGAAAGAAAACGTTTTCGTTTCTGCCCTTGTTTTAGAGTTACCGAAACCTGGGAAAAAGATGCTAGTTGTTGTCTACGAGTGGGAAGGAGACACTGATGATATCGGAAGAGAAGTTGCCCTGGATGCGTCTTTGTTTGCCAGTGATGTGGACGTTGTGCGAGCCAAAGCCACGCATCCCTCGTACTCGAAATACAAAGTGATGAGAACCCCGGCCATCTTGTTTCTGGATGCCGAGGGAAGTCAAGTCAAGATTCTTTACGGGGATCAAGTGTCCAAGATGGGGTTCATGGATGCCCTCAAGTCTCTGTTGCCCGAGTTGAATAATGATGCCCCTGTCGTCCCGGGATACAACGAAGTCGACTTTAAGCCGCTTCAAGAACGGTTTGTTTTGCTTGTGTGTGTGTGTCGTTTATTTCTTTGCTGGGTTAATTATACTGTAGAGATGCGGATGTGATCGGTGCGTGGAACTTTTCCCCATGTTGGAGCAACTGCATGTTGGATCACATTTTCCCATCCCATAAACTTCAACGTAAACTTATTTAATCGAAAATTAGGAATAAATTCCCCAAAAAATTGAAAAAAAAAATGTTTTCGACTTTTTGAAACCAAAAATGACTGTATCTTGAAGAAAACTCCACAGAACCTGATCATTTGTCATGATAATTATGGAGCTCAAGAGGCAAGGAATAAGTATTAATAAGTCTTCCTATGCTGTACACGCATTATATATAAAAAAAACGCAGATAAAAGGAGCACAAAATTAACCTCGTTGTGATTATGAATTTGAGTAAATTTATCATAAAATGTATTCCTAATTTTTGCGAGCATAAAGTAGCAAAATTTGTTCAAAAATATTGTATAACCATATTGAATTGAACAGCTAGCTTTATTTTCCGCCTTTGAGCATCCGAATGGTTCAAACAATGTTACCACATCCAGGCCCCCTCCCCTTCTCACAATCTCACCCATGTTCATCCAAACACATTCTTCACATCAGAATGGAAAAAATAGAAATTAGCTGTGCATGGATATTAAAAGAAAAGAAAATGCATCCCGAAAAGTGAAACTGCAAAGCTGATATAAATACGTACACTGTCTTCCCCTCCCTGCTCACAAGAACAAAATATCAATCACACAAATTGCACCATAAAGCAATTACTAAATCCAAATTAAAGCACAAGGTGTTCAACCTGCTCCCAGATACGATTTTTGAAATCATTAAACTTTTATGTTTCTTGAAATGTTGAAAAATTATTCATATGTTGAGACATTGTCCAGATGATGGGGCAGATTTCCTCAACTAAGTGTCCCTAAGTTAAATCATCTTTGTGTTGGGCTCCCACTGTATACTTAGAAAATATGAGAAAGGGAAGGTCTGAAATACGATAATTGTATTTCCCATTCTGAATTTTCTCAATCATTTCATCAAAAGAATTTGGAGAAGTAGGATATTCTTCACAAACCTTATGTGGAAGTACTTCAAAAAAGCCTTTATCACCAGTGTCCCACAAATTTCAGTCCTACATCATGCTGCAACAATCGTGAATCATATTATCCTGGAATCTTGTTTTAAAAATCTCATTATAACGAATAATCGATTGCAACAATTTCATTTTATTTTGGTCCCCATTCAATAGCTGTAATTTTATTTGAGAGAATTTATAACGAATTTTTCCTTATAACTTATCTATTTTACTGGTACCAGTGACTTCCTTGAAACGATATTTCACTGTGCAACTCTTTTTTTTCTCAGGTTCCTGGGTGTTCCCTGTAACGTGATTTTAATGCAATAGTGGGTAGAAATTCCGTGTTTTAAACTTTTAATTTTATTTTCGTCCTTATGTCTTCTCTTCCGGATATGCTATAATATTTACTCTCTCTTTCTCTCACAAAAAAAAATGAATGATGCAGAGTTGAAGAGAATCTGGTGGTGGTGGAGGAGGAGGAGATTCTGGCCAACGGGAAGCCGCGAGGAGCAGCGTACAACACCCGAGTGCACATGCAGGACATGACGAGTGCCATCAGGTATTCGCTGAGCCACGAAATCGCCCTGCACTCGACCATTTCCGGAGAGGACTACACGAACCTGCGCAAGTTCATCGCCGCCCTGGCCGAATTCTTCCCGGGCCCTCCGCCGGTGACGACGAAGCTGGGCCACCTATTGGCAGCACTGGACGCTGTTGGCGGGCCAGGCGTCATCACGGCGGATCAGTGGCTGGAGATGAGCAAGCCCGTCGTGGCAGAGATTCCCGTGTCGGGCTTTGTGGGCTGTGCCGGGAGTTCCATCAAGTACCGGGGTTATCCCTGCGGTCTCTGGACCCTGTTCCACGCCATGACTGTGGAGGCTGTGCGGGTGGGCCAGGAGGCCCGATACGGAGACGTGTTGGACGCGGTGCACGGCTTTGTCAAGAGCTTCTTCAGCTGCAGCTACTGCTCCAAGCACTTTCAGGAGATGTTTGCCAAGACGAGGCAGGATGTGCAGGACCTGGAGTCGAGCGTCATGTGGTTGTGGGTCTCACATAACAAGGTTTGTGCGTGTGTTTGTTTGTGAGGTTCATCTATTTTTGTTTTTGCAATTTTCCTCCTGGCTGGCTGGTGGTGGTTTTATTCATGCACGGTAGTTGCTTGGTAAAGGTGTCGCTCGATTGAGTACCGTACTGTAATATTGTACCGTATTACCGTGAATATTCAAAAAAACCCCCTTATTTGGGCTATGAATGTATTTTCAGGAAATATTGAGGAGTGACTATCCTTGTTTTTGCCTTGCTGCTGATGGAAGCAAACTCGAGTATGTGGAACATTTCTTGAAATTGAATTCAAATTCTTCTATTGATTTCAAAGCAAAATGAAAAAAAAAATGCTGAGGACCAAGGATAAACACGTATCAAAAACAGCATTTTTCAAATTGGAAAATTAGCACTGCGTAATTTTAGGGGTAAAGTACTTTACATCACACACAATTATCTTTTGTGCAATCCATATTATTGAAAACAGGGTTTACTATATCCGAGACAAAATTTGGCTGCAGTCTAAGTTCATTATGCGAAGCGTCCATTATCCGAGGTTACAATGCATTCCACATACCGCTAGTATAAGCACCCTTTCTTTCCAATTTTAGAAGCTCAAATATGCGAGTGGTGCCTATATTTGCATATACAGTACATTATCTGCAATTTGCGTAAATATCGTCCTGTTTGTGGCCCAGAAAACGATGAAGCACTCGTTTTCTTTATTATTTTTGGAATCGAATAATCAAGAAATGGTAATCTTTTTTGCATTTTGAGATGCTGCATGAGTCATTTACTGTAAAGGGGAAGAAGCGAGGATTGCGTGACACTTCCTTTTTTCCTTTTCTGGGAAAACTTCAATTTAGTCAGAAGCTAAGTTCCTGGAAAGAAGTCTGAACACCAGGTAAGTAAGTGGGTAGCTTATGTACAGTACTGTATTCGCTCAAGTACGATAGAGCTTTTTCGAGTTAATTCGTGAACGTGTTCAAATTGTTCTTTCTCTCTTTCGGCGTTTCGACTTGTGTGCAGGTGAACAAGAGACTGGCTGGAGATATTTCGGAAGACCCGGCTGCCCCGAAAATCCAGTTCCCACCGCCGCAACTCTGCCCCGACTGCTTCGACGACTCTTCTGCCAAGTGGGTCAAGGATCGGGTCTACGACTTCCTCTTGTCCTACTACGGCAGGGAAAACATCGTTACTTCTTCTTCGTCTGTGGACAACTTGACCGTCTTGCACGGAGTGTCTTCGTCTTCGGCCGCCGCCTTGAAGCCGCCTTCCAGGATCCTCTTCACCGTGTTGGACGTGACGATTTGCTCGCTGATGTATTTGTTGTCGGCGGGCGTGTTGGTGGCAGTCTACTACTTCCTCATTGTGGCCAGGAGGCACAAGAGGGTCTCTGCTGACCCACTGCTGCCCAAGTGGGTCCAATTCAAGTGAAGGTGTGGAACGTTGGAGTTCCGAGGGTGAAATCGTGTGTGTTTGTGTGTGTGCGCGCGACGGAATTTTGACAGCAAATTACGAGGGGATATCTCGACGAGTCTCGTGAGTCACCAACACAATTTTAATTGCCATTTTGTTTTTATTTGTGGGGTTAAGAAAAAAAATTTGAAGTCATTACTGCACCGAGTACTGTACCATTACATGGAGATCCGATGCAATTAATTGTGAAGGATGTGACGGACATCCAGTGTTGATCAGTGTCGAGCATCAGGATGATGGAACTTGCCAAAATATAACTTTTTTTTTCTTTTCGAGAGTAGTTTGTTTTTCCCCCGAAATTACTCTAATATTAAGTTCATATTTGAGTCGAAATGATTTTTTTGGGCTGTCTCCACCGACGATGACGACGACAGTATTCGCATTGAGATAACTTTTATTTATTCATTTTCCGTAACATTCGCCGGATAAATGGTTTATGAATGACGTCTCCTTGAAATTGGCTGGGCCACATGGTGGTAATTTCGACATGCGAGGCCTTGTGCCTGATTATTCATTTTCATTGGGTTATTTGTATTTTTTACCGGCCCACTGAGAGGAAAGCCTTTCATAAATGAGCTTTCTTTTCTGAAGTGAATTGTATTATCGAAATCAGGAATTATGTGAGAGCTTTCGAAATTTACGTCTACATTTCCATTCAACTGCACCAGGGATTTTTGGTGGATTGCGAGACTTTGGAGAAGACTTCTCTTGCTTTACTTCACTTGATCTTTGATTGAGAATCGTCATGCTTTTATGTCAGGAAATGCAAATTGGGAAGCAGGTGAATTTTTTTTTTATTTATAGAAATCGAAAACATGAGACATCGACAATGGCGAATGTTCTCTTTGAGTGCTTCCGTGATGGAGGAAATATTGACAGAAATTTGGTTTCCATTGTTCTTGTGATATGAACTCCTGATGAAATTGCATTTTGTTTTGTGATTTGTTTTGTGCGTGTTGGGGATTAAATCTGTCTTTTTTTCTCTTCTTGCTCTTGCGTGCTAGCAATCGTGGATGCTTTTTCAGTGTGACCACCTTGCCAGAGTGTGGCTGACACTGAACACGAAGTTTTTATTTCATTATGCTGCTTAGGTTGGAAAGAGAGTGTGAAGATACTTGGCTGAAAGAAATAATTGATGATAAATACTGTAGAAACAAATTTGAAAATTTCGCGCAACAGGCACAAAAGAGCTTATACAGTATGGATTATGTGTAAATACTAAATAGGCCAAAGAAATAGTTGATAATTGGCAGAATGTGGGAAAACTCAACTTTTGCATACAGTAACTGAACAACCTCAAGATTCATGAGCCACGAATCTTGAGAATTTTTCATTATACAGTAAGAAAGTTTCCTTTGGTCCCTGTGACTTTGTTGCATCACAATTTTACTGTACTGTACTGTATAATAAAGGTGAGTTGGAACGGTACGTATGTAGATTCACCGGCGTTTATTTCACTCATGGACTCGGTTGGAATGAAACTTGGCATTTTTGGTTAATACTGTGCTGTTGAGTGTATGCCGATTCAGCTGACAATGATGCACCCTTTTCTTGAAACTGTACATGGAAAGCGAGTTTTCACACTCAGCCCGGGGAATCGATTTGGTGGTCAGCAGTTGCACTGTTGGATCGGATTTTGCTTCAAACTGCCGGATGCGATGTACCGCTTCACGTCGAATGCCTGGTCTGGATGATCCTCGCTTTTATGCAGCAATCCCCTGTCAAACGAGAAAATGGGAGACGCAATCAATTTCTGCATTTTTAAAAGTTAGCACACCTCAGTATTATTTTTACCTTTTTTTTTGAAAGGTAAAAACATCAAAAAAGCAAATTTGCCTCTTTTTTTTCAAAAGTTCTTAAAGCCTTAGAATCATATTGAAAACTTTGAAGACGATAAGTCTTGACAACATTGTTGCTGCTTGGTCACATATGATGGAAGAAGTGGAATGAAAGAATGTGAAACAACAGCACAGTTTGGTATTGGCATGAATCAAATCTCAATTCAATAGGTTGAAATACTTGAAAACCTTAATTTTAATTCCCAGTTCACTTATCATCCCTGCTGGACAGTTTTCTTGTGGCCAATGTTTTTTTTATAGCATCCTTGACTCAAAAATCTCTGGGCCAAATTTCCCTTGATTGAATTAAAAAATAATCTCCGGGCTTACAGGTTAATTTGCACAGCAACAACTCACCAAAAGCCATCACTAAATTATTATTTTTTACAATAAAAATTAAAGCACAGGAAAAGGTCTACCATTTTGTTGCTTAGATCAGTGTTCTCCAACCTTTTTAGGCCCAGAAACTGGCAACTTTCCATAAATTTTTTTGCAGACTGGCAAATTTTCAAGAAATGTTCTATTGACTGGCAAAGTTTGATGAAATTTTTGCACACTCAGAAAAGTTTTGCTTGAAATACCTTATGGCAGGTATTGAAAAAGTTTGTTCAAAAAAATAAAGCTAAGGACCAATGAATCAGGTATTGTGGAATGTCTTCAAAAAATTAGAAAGGTGGGCTTGAAGAAATGTTCTTCAAATGAAAAATTAAAATAATTTATTTCGATCAGTTGAAAATTTGTCCGAAGTGTTATTAGGAAAAAGCCAACTTTTGAGATAATTCTCCTTTCAAATGTCTTTCAAAAATATCAGATAAAGATACTGTAATGTCCTTCATTGATAGTTTTGATCAATTTTATTATGCTTGAGAAAATTTCCTGTGGACCCGCAAAAAATCTCTGCAGACCAGTGCTGGTCCATGGACCACATGTTGGGGAAAACTGTCAGATTATTTTTTGCCCAACATTAATTGCATTGAATTTCTGCATTCATTTTTTGGATTTTTGAAACAGCATTTGCCATGCATTTTTCTGCTCACCGGATGATCCTGCATTGCTATTTTTACCACATCAAAAAGTTACTTGTGTCATTGTAATAATTTCGTATTTTTAATGCAGTGTCATGTAGTTCTTGAAAAGTGAAAATCTGAGATTCCTGCGTGTGCGTGTGTGTATGAATTCTGAAAATACCTGCGATTTATGTTTTATTGGTAAAAAAAAAAAAAAAGCAATCAGACTCTGCTGTTTTCCTTCCAGAGAAAAATTATTGCACCCATATACATGAATATTTTACAGCTTCCCATGGCATTTATTCGTTGATATTTCAATGAGAAAATGATTATATGACCATCAGGAAATATATATGCACAATTGAGAAACTCACTTGACCACTGCCTGGAAAGCAAAGTCGACGTTGTGGCCGGTTTTGGCAGAGGTTTCTATGAAAGGCACGTTGTATTCCTTGGCCAGAGCTTCTCCCTCGTGCGTCTTCACTTCCCTTTGGAATCGGACGTCGCATTTGTTCCCTGCATCATATTATTTATAATAAGATAACGAGTGCTACAAAGCAATGTTATGAGTTAATTTTCACCAATCAACACGACGACCACATTGTGTCTCGCGTTCTCTTTCACCTCTGCCAGCCATGACCTGACGTTGAAGAAGCTCTGCCTGTTGGTCACGTCATAGAGCAGCAACAAAGCTGAATATAAGATGACAAAGATAAAAATAATTATGCTCTACAAGTCTACAGACTTTGATTGAAAATAATAAGTTTCAGCTATTGATTAATGCTATCATTGGTTCACTGATGCTCATGCTGTTTCAGTTTTGAATTGAATTGAAGAGCAAGCTTTATATTTTCTGCTTTTCAGCGTTCACATAAGGTCCAAACAATGTTCCCACATCCAGGCCCCCTCCCCTCCTCACCCACGTTCATCATCCAAACACATTCTTCACATCACAATGGAAAATAATATAGAAACAAGATGTACATGCTGGGTATTAAAAGAAAAGAAACTACAGTCAACCCCTGTCTAACAGACTTGATTTGTGCAAGGGACAAGTCTGTTATAGACAAAAAATCCTTTACATGAATTCAATTACATAAAAAATTAAAAATTTCAATTTTCAACACTAATTTTAAACCAAACGAAGTCTGTTTGGCGGATTTTGTCTGTTGGACAGGAGGAAAAACTGCTTGCAGAGCTGGTCTGTTTGGCAAAAATCCCTTACATGGGAGGTCTGTTAGGCGGGGGGCCACTGTACATCCCAAAAAGCAAAACTGCACAACTGATATGAATATGTACACTTCCTTCCCTTTACTGTTCACAAAATATCAATAATAAAAATCGAAGCATAAAGCAATTACTATATACTGTATAAGCCCAAATTTAAGCGCAAGGTTTTCAAGCTGCTCCCAGCAGCAGATGAGGTTTAGATGACAAAACAATTTGGAGAGAATTTTTGATAAGGATTCATATAAGGTTAACAAATTATCTTAGACCTCTGAGATTTCAGTTAGTAATATGGATAGCTTGGTTGTGGATCACTGGTCAAATACTTCAGTAGGTTGAAAACGCAGCATTTTAAATTTTTTGAAAAGAAAACATATCCCATTATGTTATTCATATTTTGCAGCCGAAATGGATTTTATTTGTTCAAACATGCAGCATCTTGTATCAGGTGCAAATGTATAGTCATGTACTTCATCAGCATTAGTTGCATTTTTTTATTGATATAATGTCTGCATTTCTATATTATATACACTGGATGGAAACATGGAATTCACAACTTTACTGCTTTATACTGTATAGTTGGTCATCACAAACTTGTTTGAAGCAGCAGTCTTGGCTGTGAAACATGCCATGATTACATTCTAACATTTCTTCAGATGTACTTTACTACAGTATTTTGTTTCAAATTTGTAGAACAAATTAATAGCATCATCAGCCAACAGAATCAGAGACACATGAAGAAGATGTATTTTACACATTATTCTGTATATTCATGAGCCCTTCATTCAGAAAACTCAGTGTATCATTAAAAAAAAAAGTACTAATTGGTGTGCTAACCTTGAGCATCCCTGTAGTAGGCGTGTGTGACACTCCTGAACCTCTCCTGGCCAGCAGTGTCCCAGATTTGAAGCTTCACCTTCTTTCCATCAACCTCCACTTCTTTATTCTATAATTCAAATCAATAATGGTCAACACATAAATTATTCAATTTTGGTTCATCCGTTATTAGGGCTGTGTGTGTAAACATGCAAATTTATGGTTTATACAAGTACTGTACAGTACATCTTTTAAACTCTTTCCCTCTCTTTCTGTCTCTACAAGAAAATTCAAAGGACCAGAATCAAATTGAGCTGTATTAGAGAGAATTTAATTGCAGAGAACCCACATTTAAAGTGGGGAGAGAACCCTATCATCATGGAACCAACAAATAAATTCGTTATACAGTACATGTTTTAACAAGTTTATTCATTTGTCCAAGAAAATTCTTGCAAGCAATTTTGCTGTATGCATAATACTAATAATAACTCACCCTGAAATCTATGCCCACTGTTGCAATGAAATTCCCAGCAAGAAATTTCCCATCCTTGTATTGAACTAGGAGACACGTTTTGCCAACTCCTGAGTCACCCAGAAGCATAACCTGTACATATATGACAGAAGCATTGTATGTGAGAAAGTTTGATACAGTGTGTGTGTGTGTGTTTTTTTCTTCTTTAATCCCCCTTTTGTTGAGTTTTGTTGTTTCTCTTCACACGGATGTCACTGAAAGAATTCTGTCAACAGCTTATATAGGTGTGCTGTGGGTCAGACAAGTAAAATGAATATCGATTGCATGCTAGACTATTGGATCTTTTAAAGGTTCATATGTCAATGATTCACAATTAACAGGAGTACCTCCAATTACAGCAAAAATAATGGGAGGCATATTTCTCAGACTGGCGAAACAATCTGGGAAGTCTAATTCAAGCCCAAAACTTCCTTTGACTTTCCAGCAATTCAGGCAATATGACTTTTCTGATGGGTAAGGGTTAATAGCCTATTGAACTTTTTTTTCTGGCTAAATTATCAGAACTTTGCACCATTCATTGATGTCATACCTGCAAAGCAATGCCTAATAATCTCTTGTTTGGATGAGAGCATACATAATACTGTACAATTTAAATTAGTTTTTTGGAACATATGTCTTCTGGAAATGTCATGCCAAAAATTATTTTGAAATTTGACTGAAAGGGATATTTAAAAAAAAGCAAGATTTGAGTTGAGGAGGTTGAAATCACATTTTGGCTTGAGGTAATTGGCAAATTAACTGGAATTTGAAATTAGGGACAAGGTTTGACTTTTTGGCAACTGTGTACACACAAGTGTTGTATTATTATGCAACATTTATCATCATCAGCAAAAAACAAAAACCAGCAAGAAAATGATTGATTTCTGACACTGAAGGAGGAAATTATACGTTTCTATCCTTCTCTGCTGTAAGACTCAAGGTGTCAACATACAAGTGCCATTTTATGCATACAGTATATGTATATGTATAAGTAACAATTGTATTATGAAAATGTATTTAAACCCCTGAAAGGAAACTTGAATTTAGGACGGGCGCAGCTGCAGATATTTTTTCCTTCCTGCACTCAAGTCCAGACCCCTGAGGCATCACCACCTGTTGGGGGCCAGGACAGAGTTAAAACCATCCTTGGGAGCAGCTGCTCCACCCAGGGGATTTCCAAGAAGTCCATTTAAAACAGAGACTCTGAAAAAATCGGAAGAAAGTTAAGTGGTTGCCCACTGAGAGTTTCAATTTGCAGTTGGACTTTCTGCCTAAAAATAGAAGCCCTCCCATTGAAAAAACAGATATCCTCCTTCTAAATTTGGAAGGAGGGGTACGTAGGGTCAACAAGAGACACGTAAACATGTTCTAAATAAAACTTGTAAACCTTAGAAGACTACCCCGAAAATTCACGTAAAGGTAGGTATTGTGTGAGTGTTTTGCAGTTGTTCAAGAAGCTTTTAAGCTTCCTGGGAAGGGGGGAATTGAGATGATTAAATTTGGGTGTTTGAAAGAATAGAGAGCAGAACAAGATCAGAACTCAAGAAGCAAGGTAGCAAGTCTGTGTGCTACAAAAATAAAACTTTGTGCAAATTTGAACTCAAGACTTTGAAGATTTTTTTACTTTGCATTGGACAGCATTACAGTCCAACACTTGAACACTCTAAAGGAAGATCTGGTAGAAAGTTGTGTGAGAAAGCAACAGCAGGAGCAGAAGGAATATTGAACTCAAGACTTTGAAGATTTTTTTACTTTGCATTGGACAGCATTACAGTCCAACACTTGAACACTCTAAAGGAAGATCTGGTAGAAAGTTGTGTGAGAAAGCAACAGCAGGAGCAGAAGGCATTTTCCTACAGTTCATTTGAAAACTGGAAGCATCAGAAATATATTACATGTATACGTATACTGTATTGCATATACTGTATTATAGTATAACCTTGGATACCACATGAGGGGAGTCAGCATCAGTAGTGACCATAACTGAAGGTGTCAAACTGACTCTCTGGAACTTGACTGGGGGTTGTTGTTGATGCTGGTTCTTTAAATTGTTGCTGCTGTTGTTGTTGTCAGCAGCAGGTGCCACTTTATTCCCCTGAGGGCGATTCTCAGTCTTGTTGTTTTTGCTGCTGCTGCTGTCGACGTCACTGTGCGACATGCTTCTTTGGAACTTCCTGCTGGTCCCATCGTCGTCAACATCCTGTTCATTATCCGGCTTTTGCTTATTCTGCTGTTGGCGTTTCTGCTTCGGATACCGGAAACTGGCTCTGCCAATTTTCAAACGCCCAAAAGTGCTGCTGCTGCCGGAAGATGAGGAGGAGGAGACTGCTGATGGATCCAAAGTCAGGGAGATCTTATTGCTGTCCTGTTTGTCCATGTTGCAGCACTGCTGTATTATACTGTATATAAGTTGGACCAAAATCCTGAAAGTAGACAGTACAGTACGATACTGTCTTGTATAATGAGTAATAAAAATGCATGGACACATTTGGAGAACATTTTGAAGGATCATACATATACAGTCAACCCTCGTTTAACGGACTTGATTCGTGCAAGGGACAAGTCTGTTAGACAAAAAGTCCTTTACACGAATTCAATTAAATAAAAAATTAAAAATTTCAATTTTCAACACTAGTTTTAAACCAAAAGGAATCTGTTTGGTGGATTATTTGTCTGTTGGGTGGGAGGAAAAACTGCTTGCAGAGCTGGTCTGTTCGGCGAAAATCCCTTACACGGGAGGTCTGTTAGGTGGGGGGCCACTGTATGTGCAACATCCACCATTTAAGCAGCAAGCAGACATTTTACCATTTCACAAACAGAATCCACAAACAGAATGCTACAAAACCATCAGCTTTTTAAACTCAACGCCACATATTGGGAAATTTTTAATCATGAGAAGAAAAGAAAGCCTGTTTCTGCAATCAGAAAAGTTGACCATACTTCAGGCTATTGCTGGATATGCTATTGATAATTTATTTGTCAATTTGCTACATTATTCATTGCAGGGTATAGCTTAAAATAGACAATGGAATACAAGCAAATTATTGAGACAGACAATTCAAGACTTGAAAAATGGAGACAGAAAATGTGAGACAATGAAGATTTGAGACAGACCAAAAGGAACTGCAGATTCCCAATAAATAGCTATTCATGCTTATTTTCCCAGAAAAAATCAATAAAATAAAGCCCAACATGAGGACACTGACTCAACATAGGGACATTTTGTGACCAAAATGCAAATAAGTTTCAGGCCACATGACAAGAAACATATATATTTCCAACCCTAAAATTGATGTAAGAAAAGTTCTTGCGCATTTCTCTCACCAAATTATCATAGATTTAGCTAATTTTAAAAAATGACCTCCAGCATACAGGGACTTTTCACTTGAATGTTTTTTTTTGTAAATGCAAAAATTTAAGTGTACAAGTACAGAGATACACTATTCAATACTCCAAATGTTCTTATTGACTTGAAAATGTATTCACTAATTCAAATTCAAAAGGCAAACAATTTTTTTCAGGGAATTCTGAAGAATATTTCTTCCATAAAACACAAATTAAAAACTATATAATGTAAGTCTATGGGGAAAAAAGACTCGCCTTTGGGACATTTTGACTTGGGGACACTCTTGATTCACCAATCACGTCCGCATCTCGGGGTATCACTGTAGTTTTTTGTCATCGAGCATTCGAATTATGATCTTCCGAAACACAGTGGAATCAATTCCAAGGGTTGGAAAAAACTATTTTTCAAGTTTTGCCTTGATTGCAGCAGAGAATAAGTAGGTAATTTTCCGCTGGCCAAATAACCCTATATTATATAGGGCATAATGTAATCTATTTCTTTTAAAATATAAATCTATGTTTTCATTGGAATATGGTTCTTAAATTTGTTAAATTATTATTGGAAAGATTTTTCAGAACTTCGGAATGTTAAAAAATTCCCAGAATGACTGAGATTTCAAAAACTTGAAATTGAAAAAGGTTGATCTTAATATTTCCCTTTTATGGCCGGAGAACACTGTCACACACATATTTTTATCATTGGGAGCACAGTTAAAAATTTATAAAAGTTATCAGTGAATTATGAAATACTTTCCGCGTTTTTTGATTACGGCGAACTTCATTCATTTTCCATTCAAAAAGTAATGAACGAATTATTATGCGGAATAGATTGATTTTCATTCCATCCTTGGTAAAGTTCGATACTGAAGCACTAAGACCTTGAACCTTTCAAATAAACTGTAAAGTCTAAATAAAAAAGCTCAGCACGATGAGAGTGATATAAGATGGTAAAAGTTATTATCATGATGCGTCAAAAAAATCCGTGCCAAATAACCAATATATAAACTGTTGCGAAAGCTTGGTTGATCATAAAGAATCCTTTTTCTGCATGGAACACTATAATTACTGTATTTATGCGGCAATCACGTTCCATCAAATCGACGTAACATTTGAACATCCGAAAAACCATAACCCCAGGTTGTTGCTTCTCGCTTTTCTTACAGCAATATATGTTGAATTGACAACATACAGTACAGTATTGCTAATGACATTCGTTGTGCGGAGTTGCCTGTTCATTATTATACGCTTGGCCGTGGTTCCATGCGGTTTATCTCCATGTTATCATCATCATTAACCTCCCTTCCGCATGTACTTCGTGTATGAACAAGGCGGGAAGGAAGTTAATCACTTCAAGATATTTTTTTGTTGTCCACGTTAAACAAAGACTCTATTATCTCTCGTGCATTAGCAGAAAACATAAAAGCGCGCTGTGTTTTGGCTTCTGAGATTTTGATCCTCTGCCTAATTGCTTTTTACACGTTGCATAATTTTCGCGAGGATGATTGCTGATAGTATAAAAAATTCAAAAATAGCTACATCTCTTTTTTTTAAATGGTATTTCAATCGAAAGATATAGTGATGTTTCTTAGAGTGGAGGAACCTCTAGAAAATAACACATGCGAAAATATCGTGAATATTCTGATTGAAAAGTTGCTTAAAATCCTTCTTACAAAATTTGAGAGGAAAAATAATATTTATGTTGTGAGGAAACAACTTTCAAATAAGCTTTATACGTTGATTTCTTACAGACCAATATTCTTCATATACTGTACTGTATACAGAATGTATTTTACAGTGAGTTTTGCCGCAAAAAATCATGCCTCGCGGAATATGGACATAGAAAACAGAAAAAGCTCTTTGCTTAGTTGAACAGCAAAAATCTTTGAAAGGGATAGAATATTTCTGTATGACTGATTTCTATTTTTAAAAATACTTTTATTCCAAATTATTAACCCTGGAAAAGCGATTCAAAATGCTGGAATTTGAATCATGAAAATTTGTTTCGGAAGTTTCTAAGCCGTTAGCTCAGAAAAATATTTTCAAAATATGCGCTTTCCAATGCAGGCATGCAAAAATTGTAAAATTTCTGCATTCTATCGAGAATACAATTCGTCTGTGAAGAAGGATTTTCTAAAAGATCATGAACGATTCCTTCGTCTTGAAAGCTAGCCCTGAAGATTTTTTTCCAGCAAAAAAAAACTTCTGTATTACTGTATATCGAGAATAAAATTAATTTGTGATAAAAGTTTCTCTAAAATATTATGAAAGATTTCTTAGCCTGGAAAAGGTTGAAAATCATGCAGATTTTTTCAAAAAAAAACCTTTTTTAGGAGGCATCTTCACATGCGTGCATATTAGCCAGGAAGAAATCAGTTCTTTCATACCTTTGACGTCGAAGAAACGAAAATAAATATCGTCACGAGCGGCTCACGTTCGGATCAATCGACAGTCGTGTCGTCGACGAGCCCAGCTGAGCCGGCAAATGCCAAAGGCAGATCGATTTTCCCATCTTCCTTCCTCGTCAACGTCGTCGACACTTCGGCAGTGAGTCGACGTCGCCAATGTTCGACAGTGTCGAAAACCCCCGCGTGTATAACTTCGGGCTTTTTTTCCCGACGTCGTCGTCTGCCCCCCGCGGCAAACCGATGACGCGTCTGTTCTTTGTTCAATGGCTAAGTCTCTTCTATTCATTTCTCCAACGTCTCGCCGTCGAGAATTCTTTCATTTCTTTGTCGAGGGACGAAGAAGAAGGAGGGGGACTTCCCAGCCGTTTAAATCCCAGGAAAGCCGGAGCTTGGCAAATTCTTTTGCACTTTTTTTTTATCCGACAGGAAATGACGTAACGACTGCTCGGATTATTTTCAATACTGACAGAAAACAGGGAGATATTTTTGAGTGAGCCATACGAAGTCCTCCATTGTTATTACGTCAGAAGGCAATTCCCATCTTTTTCTTGCAATAAACAGCTTAAGAAAATCCTTACGAATTACATTCATTAAATGTGTCCCGTTGGTATGAATATAGAAGTTAAAACAGGACTGCGTATTTGTACATGCTCAATAGATGGAACCGGGTTCTCTCTAAAGCAAAATTTAGGGAACTTGTAACAAACTAATTATCATCAATGATTGTTCTAAAAAGAGGCTGCTGTTGAAGGTTGCAAGATGTTTTTTGCTGGTCTGCAGGAAATGTTCAGCATAACTAATTTTTTTTAAAGTTGGGATGAACTGTGTTCCCTTTACCAACATTTTGGAAGACAATAATGGCAGTTCTATTCTCTGAAGAAAACAAAAGTTGGCTTTTCTCCTAATAGCACTTCAGACAAATTTTCACCTGCTGAAATAAATTAAATTAATTTTTCATTCAGAGGAACCTTTCTCCAAGCCAGCCTTTCCAATTGTTTGATGACATTCTCAACTGAAATTTTCTCGCATATACCTGCCGTTATTCTAAGTTCGTTTTGACCACTCAGACGTTTTTAAAACACTTTGAAACGGTAGTGAGTCGTCTTGTAAAAAACCCTTAAACGGTCAGGCGTTTAAAGAAAAACCTTTCAACAGCCAGACTTACGCCAAATTGATTGGAGAACACTGGTCTACCCTACCCTATGGGATGGGTAAAAAAAACCTCTTAGGACCACAAAAAAAAATGTTTATGCAAAAAAAATTTTTTTTACAAAAATTATTGTAGGAATATTATAGAGTATACCTGCGTTTCAGGCAAATAACATTACAGTACTTTTTAATGACATTTTGATATCACCTGTCCCAAAGAAAAACCCCTCAAGTTCAGAGGTGCCCAGTTCCATGGGCCGGGTGTAATTTGATGAAGACGTCCAAACCAGAAGAGACAAGGATCAGCTACTCGGAAGGGGGAATGATTTAGATGGATGACTATTCGTCGCGCCGCCCGGAGGTTTTTGCTTGACGGATAATGGGTCCAAGATTGCTGACTCTGATGGAAATGGCGAGCTGGACGCTTATTCGGTCCGAACCCACGCAAAGTCCTTTACTGCTCTTGACCTCGGGCGTC